GGTGAAATATGACCTTCACAGTATACTCGACTAGAAAAAGGGAAGCAAGCCTCAGAAAGGCACGCATACAACTTCCTAAACACACTGCATTTGCTCCAAGAGCAAGGGAGGCACTGCGCAAACAGGAAGCCCACCCTAAGGGAAGAATCATGGGAAAGAGGCAAGCCTATAAGCCCTAGGATGAAGCTTAAATTCTCTCTTTGACCTTCAGGCACCCTCTTGGATCTCTTCCAAGTGAACTTTCTTTCCTGTTCTGAAGCCTTTTAAATAAACTTCCACTCCTACTCTGAGATGTGCCTCGGTCTCTTTTCCTGCTTTATATCTATCAAAGTCTTTCTTGTGAGGAGGCAAGGACTGAAGTTGGGGTAGACCTGCACAGATGTGCTGCTGGTAGCTCAGTGTAACGTGGATCTCTAATACTGGTAACAGCCTGACTCTGAATAAAAGAAGTTTTGTCCCGGCTTTTATAAGCCACCTCAGACTCTAGAACATGTTAGATAACACTTAAGTGCTTTGGAAGGGCCTAAAATATTCTAAAAACATTCATGAGCTGTCGTAATTGCTGGGAAGTCTGGCTTCTGCAGACCAGTGTGGCTTCAAAGTAGTCAGATGACACAGATTCTGTGTCCCTCCCCTACCAGGAACCTCCAGGAAAACTCCTCTGGTTGATCATCAAGAGTCTTCCAAAAAGGCAGAGGGAAGACCAACAGACAGGGACTGTGAACTCCTCCAACTGGCCCAGATCTCACACAGCTGTTTATCAGCAGTTTCACGACTAAGCATGTCATACTGGAAGTACCTCTTACCAGGAGAATATTTCCTGCTTCCTATAGATAATTTCCAGTACAGATAATTTCCTACAGATAATTTCCAAGGAAAGAAGTCCAGATAATTTCCAAGGAAAGAAGTCCAGATAATTTCCAAGGAAAGAAGTCCATTCATAAGAGAAAATCAGATAAAACAAAGGGAAGCATACCTCAAAAACAGAACTGCCTGAGAACCAGATCCAGTAAAGCCTGAAGCTATTCCTTCTCACTCTGAGTAGGTACATGATCTATATATGTCCTTGTTTAAGTTACTCTGAGTATGAAATTCTGTCAGTTACCCATGAAAGAGGCATGTTAACTTATTTGTTTCCATCTACTAAAGCAGGTTCCCAGGAAAATCTATTACCTAATAAAATGAATTTACCTTCATCCAGAAAAGCTGGGGAAGAGGGTTACTAATTAACTAAATCTTGTGATACCTAAAAATCATCACACGTGACAGGCAGTTTTTCAAGAATTTAAAAATATATTTTAAAATAAACTTTTAGTGTTAAATAAGGTAGTTCACAACTCACCATAAAGTCACTACAATTGCCACTATCATTTTACAATTTTACAAATGTCTAAATATAAGCATATAGTTACTTTAAAAAATCAATACCTTTTTCAACTCAATTTATCTATTTACCTGTTTATATACATTTTTGTTTGTTTTAAAGAGTAAATCTACAGATTTCATTGGTCTTTTGCCACAAGTTCCAGAAACATATTTGGTCTGATCAGGCCATACTCATATTCGGGCTGAGTACAAGAGACTCTAAAATTCCATAAATAATATTAATTCTAAGGTAATCTATATTTCCCAAGTATATTTAGATGAAACTGTAAAAGATATTTAACATTTGAGTTTTTCTATATTGGGTGAGGTTTTTAATTACTTTTTTTTAATTTCCTGAACATATTTAGGAAAAGACCATCTTGCTGGCCTAGAGCTAGCAAAACTTCAATTTCAAAAAGTAAAATCTGGATATCTATTCATTGCTCTCAAATGATTCAGAAAAACATAATTATACACATACCTGCATATATACAGTAAGAGAGAGAGAGAAAGGCAAATATGGTATAATGTTAATACTTGAGGAATCTGGATTAGTGTATTCAAGCGTACTTAGTATTACTCTTGAAACTTTATTGTAAACTTATTTCATCAAAATTTACAACTCAGGATCTTGTTATCATATGATTAACAGGGTAAAGGATGATTTTTATAAGAAAATTTATTTGCTATCTGTGAACTTTTTTCAAATCTTTGGCCTGTTTTGTACTTAGATTTTCACACTTACCTTACTCATTTCTAAGAGTTCTAAGCTTACAAAGTCTTTATTTGATTTCATAGTTCTTCAGAAAGCCTTTGCCTTTTCACTTAGGTTTATGTGGTATTTCAGATGATATAATCTATCTAATGTCACCGTGAAGTATTTTGCTTTTATCCTACAGTTGTAAAGCTTTACCTAGCTCAAGTTTAAATATCCACCTGTATTTGCCTCTGGTTTGAAAAAACAAACAGAGGAAAAGGTGATAGAAATATATAGTATAGTTGAACTGAGAAATTACTTATATACTTCCTAATCTGCTGCTCAATTTAAGGGATAAACATAATTCTGATGAGTTTAATCTTTTTAACGTCACTATGTGCTTCATCTCTGTGATAGCTGTGTAGTTACCACAAAAGGAAAGATTAAAGAAGTAGACATGTGCATGAAAATGTTTTTCAAATACTTAGACTAAAATGTTTTACAAATTTAACACCTTTGTTAAACTTTCTCTGTACATTGGGTGATACTTAAATGTAATGTGAACCTAAAATTTTATCTGTCATGTGCCAAAATCTAACAGTATTCGTGCCTTTTATGAGTCAGACATCAACTCTCTATGTAGAAGACAATGAATATCAATGGATATTTAGGAAGTCAGAGAAATTTTAAAAAGCTATTCTATGTAAATATCCTGAATCGAAGTTTTCCATTTAGAAACAGTATACCGCTGTGGTTAAGACTACTAACAAGATGGGTTCAAATTGCAGCTATGCTGTGAAATAGTTATGTGATCTAAATGTCTTTGTACTTTGGTTTCCTCATCTGTTATCTAAAATACCAATACTTATTATGTCATGGGATTTGGGGAAAGATTAAATGAGTTAATACAAGTGAAACATTTGGAATTGGGACTGCTCCATCAAAGTACTCAATGCATTAACTATTTTTTAGAATTGTGTCATATATTTTAGTCTCATCTAAAAACGACGTCTGCATTTTGGTCAAAGGGAGTAAAAACTATAAAGAATTTAAGATTAAAACCTCACAAGTCAGGGTTCCATTGTAATTCTTCACTAAATGTATGGCTTGTATGCATCTAACAACAAAGTAGATAAATAAATAACACAAAAACTACCGGGAATGCAGGGATAACATCATTAAAAATACAGACGCACTGAAGCTTCTTATAAACCTTTTTCATTACGAAACAGTCCAAGTACAACAAAAAAATAAAAACATAAAGAAAAATATGATTAACAAACTTAAAAGCAATACTATGAATACTTATATCCCTAAATAGAGAATATACATTTTTATAGTAATAGAACATGGACAAAAATCTTCCAGGTACCTATTCACACAGAAATCATAAACTTATTCAAAATAGTGTGGCTAACATTGTTTTATCACAATCCCACAAAATCAGAAATAAAAGTAAAATAATGATGAAAAGTATTAAAACACTTAAAAATTCAGAACTCATTAATAGTATGGCGATTCCTTAAAGAACTGAAAGTAGATCTATCGTTCAGTCAAGCAATCTCACTACTGGGTATTTATCCAAAAGAAAAGAAGTCATTATATGAAAAGGCATATAACTGAGTGTGATGCCTCATGCCTATAACCCCAGCACTTGGGAGGCCGAGGCAGAAAGAGGATCACTTGAGCCCAGACCAGCCTAGACAACACAGTGAGACCTCATTTCAATTCTAAAAGAAAAAAAAGACACATGCATGGGCATGTTTACAGCAGTGAAATTCACAACTGCAAAGATATGGAACCAATCTAAGTGCCCATCAACCAATGAGTGGATAAAGAAACTGTAGTATATATACGCCATGGAATACTACTCAGCCACAAAAATGAACAAACTAATGTCTTTTGCATCAACTTGAATGGAACTAGAGACCATTATTCTAAGTGAAATAACTCCGGAATAGAAAATCAAATTCCATTATGTTCTCACCTATAAGTGGGAGCTAAGCTATGAGGATGCAAATACACGAATTTTGGGGACTCTGGGTGGGAGGAGAGAGGTGAGGAATAAAACACTAAATATTGGATACAGTGTACACTGCCCAGGTGACAGGTGCACTAAAATCTCAGAAGTCACCACTAGAGAATTCATCCATGTAACCAAAACCACTTGTACCCCAAAAGCTATTGAAAGTTTTTAAAAAAATTATTCATTGATAATCATGAGTAGAATGAAATCAAAACAACTTATATCAATGCTATTGATAAAACACTTCAACCCAAAACAATGGGATATAGAGACAGTTATACTAACAGAAATATTGCATCCATCTCTCCCCTTTTATTCAAAAAGGAAAGTAATTACTTTTTTAGAGACAGGGTCTCTCTCTGGCACCCAGGCTGGAGTGCTGTGGCACAATCATAGCTCACTGTAACATCAAATTCCACCTCAGCCTCTCGAGTAGCTGGAATTACAGGTATAAGCCACCAAGCCTAGCAGAACTCAGAAATCTCTTTTTTCTTTTCTTTTTTTTTTTTTTTTTTTTTTTTTTTGAGACAGAATCTCACTCTGCCACGCCACCAGGCTGGAGTACAGGGGTGCAATCTCAACTCATTGCATCCTCCACCTCCCGAGTTCAATCCATTCTTCTGCCTCAGCCTCCCGAGTAGCTGGGACTACAGGCACGCACCACCATGCCCAGCCAATTTCTGTATTTTTAGTAGAGACGGGGATTTACCATATTGGCCAGGATGGTCTCAATCTCCTGACCTAGTGGCCAGCCCTCCTCAGCCTCTCAAAGTGCTGGGATTACAGGCATGAGTCACCGCACCCAGCCCAGAAATCTTAATAAAAAAATTTAGTAGTTGTTTTAGTCAGCTCAGCCTGTTGTAACATCAATTTCTCACAGTTCTGGAAGCTGGGAAGTCTGAATCAGAGTACCTGCATTGTCAGGGTCCTGGTGAGAGCTCTCTTCCTGGCTTGCAAATGGAAGTCTTCTTGCTGTTTCCTCAAATGCAGAGAGACAGAGACAGACAGAGAGACAGAGAGAGAAAAAGGTATAGCTCTCATGTCTCTTCTTCTAAAGGTACTAATCTCACCATGAGGGCACTGCCTTCATAATCTAATCACCTCCCAAAGATACCATCTCCAAATGCCATTATATTGGAAGTTAGATCTCCAATATATGTAGGGTTGGGGGAGGGACAGAGAACACAGTTCGGTCTACAGAAGTACTTTTAGTAAAAGTCTTATAAAATCAGAAAAACAACAGAAGAAAATAAGCCCAAAAAGATGAAACATAAAATTGGTCAAGAAAAAAATTCAACATAATGAAATAAAAATAAACTAGCCAATATAAACAATATTTTTTAAAGCTCATACTTTTAAAGCTCAATAAAATAGAGAAAGCCCTTTCAAATCTATTCGTGTAAAAAAAAAGTTTGTGTATCTGTATCTGTGTCTATGTCTGTGTGTGCATGATTAAAAACAAGAAAGAAACATTCCTGAGAAGTTAAAATAATTATTTAAGAATGTATATAAGTATATGGCAATCAATCTGCTAACTTTGAGAAAAGAGGCAATTCCCTAGAGAAATATAAAAGTTATTAAAAACTGATCCAAACAGAAGTAGAAAGCATAAATGATTTCCTTAGAAGAGTCTGAAATAAGAATTTAAAAGCTACATTTTTCAAGAGAACAGAATCAAGTGATTTCACCAATTAGTTCCATCTAATTTCTAAGGAGCAAGGCATTCTAGTATTATTTAAACTATCCTAGGTCATAGAAAAATATTAAAATCTCTCCAATTTACTTAAGAAATTAACAATATCTTAATACCCAACCTGACAATGGACCAAATATACACAGAATTCAATGCCATTAAATCAAATATATTTTTCAGCAATGTATCAAAAATTCTTAATAGTCTACTCAGTAGAGTCCATTCTAGGAATATAAGAATGGAGCAATATTAAGAAATGTCTCTTCATAATTAATTACATCAAAAAACTGAAAAATAAACCATATAACTATAATAATGAATGATAAAAAGTATTTCATAAAACTTAGTCATTCCTCATAAGAACTAGGTAATTCAGTAGCCAAAAAAAAGTATTTAAATAAGGTAATACTTCTCAACAAAAAACATTAATACATATAAAAATAGACTCTTAATCTAGCAAAATGCCTAAACTACAGTGAAATTTGGTAGTAGGAATTGAGATGAAATGACAAATTTGAAATTTTACATATATATTCAAAATATATATATATTCAAACTTATAAACATAAGCATACATATATCTATGTAGTATACATTCACACATATAAATACCACCAAATTCATATATAAAAATGCACATGTATCCTTTACAGAAAACATATACATATACCTAATTATACATTTGCATTTATTCTCTGTTAAAATTACTAGCTTACCTGTTTGGGGTGTCGAAACAAGGAATTCTTATAGAAAATGTCCTTAGCCTGGCTCCATGTACCATCAATGATGATAATTGTAGAAGGATAAACAGGAGAATCTAATATAAATTCTTCCAAATTAGCAGCTTCAGCCCCTGGATATAATATTAATGTACCAGACTTCTGGCAAATAGTTGAAAGTTCAGGATCTCTGAAAAAGTTTTTTTAAAATATATCTTTATTAGCTTGTGAGAAAAAAGTTTTATTATGCTTACTGAATTTCCTAATAAAAATTTTCCTTATCTAGTCATTTCTAATCAAACTATATATTAATTAGTTCATAAAGCATGAATTTAAAAAACTCAAAATTTTGTGTACTCTTTACTGATTTATTCACCACAATTCTGCCACTCTCCTATAGGCTTTCCAATCCTCACTATTCTCTGTTAAAGCTTTTCCATCCAATTGCCAGTGCCATAATTTCAGCCCTTCCAAAGAATTCTTCCTTTTCTCACTAGCACTTCATGGGTAATCTGATCCCCTTTATTGAAGCAAACAACCCACATTGCCTAACAATCCTAGCAAAATCAATCAGATCAATCCCAGGACAAAACCTAGTAGCAATGGAAGAACCATAAAGAGAAGTTAGGCTGCATAGGCAAGCTACATTCTCAAATTCACCTTTGTTGAAGCCAACTAAACATGGCCTGAGAAGGACTCCAAACTTCCAGATTTGAGACCTTGTGGATAAACCCTAACCTATCTTAACAGGCAGACAAGATTGAAAACCTAACTTAGGAGTATGCACCTGCAACAATGGCTGAGACTTGGCCTATCCCAGTGGCCATACTTCAAACACTCACAGACTGCTAAGTGTTCAAACTGCATTCAAAGAAGGTACACGCCAACCTCTAACCAATCCGGATGTTTCTGTACCTCACTACTGATTTCTGTACATCACTCCCGTTTTATTTATTTATTTATTTTTGTCTATAAATTTATTCTGACCACAAAGCATCCCTGGAAAATCTCTGAATCTGCTGTGATTCTGGGGGCTGCCCAATTCATGAATTGTTCACTGCTCAATTAAATTCCTTTAATTTGGCTGAAGTTTTTCTTATAACACTTTATATTAACTATTGAAGGAAACCAAAATATTTCACTTCAAAATATACTTATTTGACATATGTTGAGATGGCTGTTTAGAGGGCCTGCAAACAGCAGTAGCCTTGCAAAACTGTTGCATCTATAGAGAAAAACAGATGGCAGCCAGGCTTTCTCCAAGCACCTTCCCTTGTCCCGATCTAGGATATACTAACTGAAAGTCTGACAACCTTAATGGTCTAAAAGAAATATTTACCCTCTATTTTCTATGAAGGATGCTATCTGTGCAGTTTCATCTGCATAACAAGACCACTTTCGTTAGCCAGGCCTCCTCTTCTTCCCCTCTCATATTTTTTTGCCATCATAACTGGCTTTGCCATGCTCTAAGCCCCTATTCTTTCTGTAACCTCAAGATGGCATAAAAGCATCAACCATCTGGCCATTTCTTTGAGTTCTCATATTTTGTAAGACTCCCTTGCACGTTAACAAATTTGTATGCCTTTCTCCCTTTAATCTGCCTTTTGTCAGATGATTTTCAATAGACCTCCAGAGGGTAAAGAGGAAGGTTTCCTTGGCCCCTACCATTATCCAGTTCAGTTACAGGGGTAGCTGATTCAACATTCATTCAAAAATGTATCCAAGCATTTTGGTACTGGAGATAAACGATGAATGAGCCTTTCCCCACAAGCAAAAAACAAAACAAAACAAAACACTCCTTTTTTTTTTGAGATGGAGTTTCGCTCTTGTTACCCAGGCTGGAGTACAATGGTGCAATCTCGGCTCACTGCAACCTCCGCCTCCTGGGTTCAGGCAATTCTCCTGCCTCAGCCTCCTGAGTAGCTGGGATCACAGGCACACACCACCATGCCCAGCTAATTTTTTGTATTTTTTAGTAGAGACAGGGTTTCACCATGTTGACCAGGATGGTCTCTATCTCTTGACCTCATGATCCACCCGCCTCGGCCAACAAAACACTCTTAAGGGGAAGAGACCAATTATCATTTTTCTTTGAAATATGATAATTTGGATTTCCAATTTCAGCTCAGACATAAAGAGCTTGAAAGTCATCAAGCCCATTTTCACAAGAAAAATGCTAAGGAACTGAAAATTAACAACTTTTCTTAGATCCATTAGAGAACTGAGGCCCCAGGGAAATACTCCCGAAACTGGAGAAACAAGGTCAATACAGAGAACCAGAGCCAAATCAGTTTCCCAGAGAGCAGAAACCACTAAAGCCAGTAACTGGTAGGAACACTTAAACAGTCAGTGACAAATTACTGCATGCTGAGTATGGACTAGCTTGAGAGTTAAAACTCATGGGGACCCAGTATTAAGAGGAGGGTTCATACTTTCCTAATCATTACATCCAAGAGTCCCCTAGGTTCTCCTAGTGAAGATCTGAGAAAAATCCTGTTGTGTCTAGGGAAGGGAAAGGTGAAAAGTAACCATCTTGGCTGGGTGCAGTTGCTCACGCCTATAATCCCAGCACTTTGGGAGGCCAAGGCGGGTGGATCACTGGAGGTCAGGAGTTCAAGACCAGGCTGGCCAACATGGTGAAACCCTGTCTCTACTAAAAATACAAAAAATTAGCCAGGCATGGTGGCAGATGCCCGTCATCCCACCTACTCGGGAGGCTGAGGCAGGATAATCACTTGAACCTGGGAGGCGGCGAGCCAAGATTGCAACCACTGCACTCCAGCCTAGGCATCAAGAATGAAACTCTGTCTCAAAAAAAAAAAGAGAGAGAAAAGAAAAGTAACAGAGGCCTTTCCCTCAAGAGAAACTACTTATTACTATTGTTTGACCAGAAAAAGAAACTAAGTACTAACATACATATTACAACCATGAAAACATGCTAAGTGAAAGAAGCCAGTCACTAAAGTCCAAATATATTATTTCATATATATATCAGATATCAAATATGAATACCAAATAGGCAAATCAATAGAAACACAAAGTAGACTAGTGTTTGCTTAGGATTGGGAAGGGGCAGGGAGTTAGAAAGGATGGAAGGCATAGGGATAAGTAGGTGACAGTTAAAGGTAGAGGATTTCTTTTTGAGGTGATGACATATTTTGAATTGACTGGTGATGGCTGCAAATATATTTAAATATACTAGAAACCAATTAATTTGTACATTTTAAATTAGTAAGTTAAATGATATGTGAATACCATTTCAATAAAGCTGTTTCAAAAAAAAACAAAAGGGATAGAGAAAGATATACCATGATAATACTAATGAAAAGATAACTGCAGGCCAGGCACAGTGGCTCAAATGTGTAATCCCAGCACTTTAGGAGGCCAAGGCAGGAGCACTGCTTGAGCCTAAGAGTTTAAGACCAGACTAGGCAACACAGTGAGATGCCCATCTCTAAAAAAGTGTTTAAAAATTAGCCGAGCACAGTGGTGTGCACCTATCATCCCAGCTACCAGGGAGGCGGAGGCAGGAAAACCACTTGAACCTGCGAGGTCAAGGCTGCAGTGAACCGTGATTGTGCCACTACACTCAGCATGGGCAACAGAACAAGACCTTGTCTCAAAAAAAAAAAAAAAAAAAGGTAAGTGGACTAGCCTAGCTATATTAACTACAGACAAAGCAACCATCCAAAGGAAAATTATCAGGATGAAGAGAGGCATTACATAATGACAAAAGAGTCAATTCTCCAAGAAGACGTAACAATCTTTTAACATGTGTATACTTAACAATTCAGTGTTCACAATATATAAGGCAAAAACCGAGAGAACAGAAAGGAGAAATAGACAAATCCAGTAATACAGCTTGAGACTTCACTACAACCTTGTCAGTAACTGGGAGATCAAGCAGGCAAAAAATCAATAAGGATATAGTTGGCCTAAATAGCATTATCAATCAACTTGATCTAATTGATATTTATAGAATGGTCTGCCAACAACAAAATACACATTCCTCTCAAGTTCACATGAAACACTCAACAAAATATACCACATTCTGGACCATAAAACATATCCTGACAAATTTAAAATAGAAATAATACAAAGCATGCTCTCAGACTACAATGGAATTAAATTAGAGCCCAGAAAACTTACTGGAAAATTTCACCATATCGGAGATTCCTTAACATACTTCTAAATACTACAGGTCAAGACATAAGTCTCATGGGAAATTTTAAAATATTTTGAACCAAATGAAAATACAACTTATCAAAATGTGTGGGATGCAGCAAAAGCATTGCTTAAAGTGATACTTATAGCATTAAAATGCACATATTAGGAAAGAAGAAAGACCTGAAAATCAATAGACTAAGCTTCCTCCTTAAAAACACAACAGAAAGCTAGATAGGGCCAGGCACGGTGGGTCATTTCTCTAACCCCAGAGGCAGGAGAGTTGCTAGAGGCCAGGAGCTCAAGACCAGCCTGAGCAATGTAGCAAGACTCTGTCTTGACAAAAAATTAAATAAAAAAAAAAAAAGCTAGAGAAAGAAGAGCAATTTAAGCCTAAAGAAAGCACTATAAAAAGAAAAGAAGGGTTAGGCACAGTAACTCATGTCTATAATCCCAGCACCTTGGGAGACCAAAGTGGGCAGATCACTTGAGGTCAGGAGCTTGAGACCAGCCTGGCTAACATAATGAAACCCTATCTCTACTAAAAATACAAAAAAATTATCCAGGTGTGGTGGCGGGTGCCTTTAATCCTAGCTACTCAAGGAGGCTGAGGCAGGAGAATCACTTGAACCCAGGAGACAAAGGATGCAGAGAGCTGGGATTGCACTACTACACTCCAGCCTGGGCGACAGAGTGAGACTCTGTCTCAAAGAAAAAAAAGAAATAATAAAACTTAAGATGGAAATCAGTGAAGTTCAAAATGGAAAGACAATAGAAAAAAATCAATGAAACCAAAAGCTGACTGTTATAGAACAAACTGTGTCCTCCCCAAAATTCAAGTGTTGAAGTCCTAACCCCTAGTAGCTCAGAATATGTTGGTATTTATAGATAGATAAATTATCTTTAAGAGGTAATTAAGTTAAAATGAAGCCATTATGGTGGTCCCTAATCTAATCTAACTGGTATGATTATGAGAAGAGGAAATTTAGACACAAAAGAAGAGCTGGCAGGGGCACATCTGTCCAG